CTTGTTTTGGTTGGGTGGTTGGGTTTTGGGTTTAGGGTTTCACTCCCCTGATCTTTGGCTTGTTTTGGTTGGGTGTAGGGTTTTGGGTTTAGGTTGGGGTCCAAGAGACCACATCAGGAAAACGAGTACTTCCGTTAGTGTCCCTAGATATCCATGTTCTGCTATACCCCGCCGAAACCGCATTACAATGAAAAGGCCGCTTCAAGAAGCTTTCATGAACATAGAAGGATCTCCCGCCCCAGGCTTTCCGGACTCCCCCGCTCTACTTGGGCCTTACTAGCTGGGCTTCGGCGCTCGCCCTTGGCCTTAAACGCATGTTATACTGTATTATAGCACACTTTACTATATTACACGATACTATGCCTTAGCCTACCAAAACCCACTTTTTTTTGTAGGTTCTTGGTATAAACCCTTAATATGGGATTTATAGGCGCCCTACAAACAAGTAGGTTCTGGTACTGTACTATATGAGATTCTAAGATTCGGCCAGCGTCGAAGAGGGAACCGGGCTCCGAAGACGACAGCGAGACGCAAGGAGGCTAGTATAGAAGCCTGAAGAATCAGAATCGGGGTTTTGGGGCTATATTGACAGTATCACCATAAGGGAGCCATAAGGGGATGTTATTACTAGGTATATTAACAGGGTGTTTTGGGAGTATGTTATATAGGATAGTTATGAACTCTATCGGAATAGTGTTGGTAATTATTCAGGCTCCTATATTGGCCATGGATGGGCGGACAAGACGACAGTGTACGTACTACGTTGCTTGTATTGCGATGAATGAATCACCATTCCGAATTGCCAGTCTTCTCATTATTCTTTTTTGACTGTTATCCTCTCCTTCTCCGTACCTCAGAGTGTAGTAGAGCTCAGCATTAAGGACTTGCGCGCTAAACCTGCTTAATGACACAGTAAGGCTTTGGGGTTTCACCCTCGCAGATCCATCTACGATTTCTTTTGGGGCCTTCACCCTAAACCCTAAACCCTAAACCCTAAACCTAAGGCCGTGTGCAGCGGGATGAGGCAACAAGAAAGGACTGCAACCTGGGGCCCCTGAGGTGCCCGCACCCGGAGGCCGACATCGGATCATGTTCTCGCGCTTGGGAGTCTGGTCCGGCCTCTCGGATGCATCGGAACGCGGAGGGTCGTGCAGAAGATAGCTTGGTGTAGCCTGGGTTGCAGGGCTCTCTAGGTGTTGAGTCGTCTTTTACTTCAAGGGAATGCACTGGGATCGTGATCACGATTTGCCGTACCCTTCCTGAATGAAATGGTTTTGGAGTTCTGGGAATGTATGGCAGCACCTGTGGCAGCACCTGCGGCAGTGATGGGTGTGGTTGTCGTGGTTGTGGTGCTTGGTTCGGTAACTTGGGGCTTCAGATGTGGGGGTTTCCGAAAAATAGGGGGTACCTTATATTGGGGTCCCCATAATAAGGATCCTATTAGTTAGGGTACTATGTTAGGGGCCCCTATTTTCGGAAACCCCCATGTTTCTAGCGCGTATACCTAAATCCGAAACCCTCAGCTCTGAACCCTCGAGGCCCTGAACCCTAAAACCCAACCCTACATCCCGAAACCCTTAAACCGTTTTCCCGAAATCCTGAAACCCGGTTAAGGGTTAGAGTCCACCATGAACTAAGTGTTTGTAGGTTATTCCTTACACAAGACTGTTGCAAAGCTCTTGCAGGACGAGAAAGCTCCCTATAGAGCCCTGCGGCGCAGAAGCTCGAACAATTACTGTTTTGTATTCCTTCGGGCTCCTGATTAAAACTCTACTATCGTAAGCCCCACAACTCCATTCCAATCTTTGAGCCCTCAACCATAAACCCTAAACAACAACAGCCCTAAACCCAAAACCCTAAACCCAAAACCCTACAACCCAAACCCCACAACCCTAAACCCTAGGCCCTAAACCCCAAACCCTACAACCCAAAACCCGACAACCCAAAGCCCACAACCCTAAACCCTAAACCCTAGGCCCTAAACCCTAAACCCTCACCCCTAAACCCTAAAGCCTAAAGCCTAAACCCTAAACCGTAAACCTAAAACCCTCAACCCTAAACCCTCAACCCTAAACCCTAAACCCTAGGCGTCTTGGCTTTCAGGTCTGGTAGTTTTCCCTTGTGGATCCCAGCCTGTGCCATTGACCCCGCGCGGCTCTGGAGGAGCCCGCAACACGTTGCAGCGCGTGACTGCACAGCCTGCACAGCCCATTGCCTCAGCCTGTACGCATAGCGACGGCTGACTGGCTTTTTTTCCGCCCCACTTCGAGTGGCTGGCTGCACTTTTTCTTGTGGGATTGGCGCCCCCCTGGAATCGCCACGCGGCGCATGGGCCTTCGCACCTGCGGCCGCTGGCTTGGATGTTTTTTGGTGGTGTCACGTTGGAACCTGGGACATCATTCCTCAGGGAGGCTTCGTGGCATCGAAGAAGGCGCCGAGCGCGCACACGGTCTCGGAGGTTAGCAACAGCAGGCGGGCCCTGCCAACGAAGGAAGCCAGAGAGGCAGCGGCGAGAGGGTTCTCACTCGACGACCTCATCGAGTGGGTGGCCAAGGATGGCAGCGGACGGTACAGCATACGCCTGGCTGCTGGGGAACCGAGCCGCTTATTGGGGGAGAGCATCAGGAAGGTCAGTAATTGGACGCTGTATGTACGTGCGAAAAGGGATGATGGCGACAAACTCCAAGTTTACCCGGACCGATCCCATACTGGTGTGGGGCCTGTGGAAGGGACACGCATCTAAGAGTCCTGCGCTCTCACCCATGGAAATCACCTTCGGCGACCGCTTTGCGGGCAGCCTTGAGGCTGCGCTGGGGCAGTGGCTATGCCAGCGACTCGACGGATGGGCCGGCCACGCACAAAGACATGCTGACTTCGGAGGTCGAAGTGGGCTGAAGACCGCGCTTGCAAGGTGATCTGGAAGAAGTTCTGCTGAGGCAGAGCCACAGGAATCTAGCTCGGAAAGTCTTCTAGTCCGAAGTTCATGACAAAGTGGTTGTGCTTGGTAGGCATGTGGTTACCAGATGTGCGTTTTTCAGTTGCCCGTTTGCAGTTGCATGAGTCGTGTTTTTTGCCCCAGCAGCTTTATCAGCCAGGTGTGACATATAATGTTAGTTGTACCTCAAGCAGTCACTGGCGTGCGGCAGACTAGCTTACACCCCGCGGCACATGCAGCGGGCCCTGCAAGTTCAAGCTAGTCGATGGTTAGTAGTCGTCGTCGTAGCAGCAGCACATTGCTGCTACTACCACAACTCTTCTTCGATTTCCTTGAGGATGATGGTTGCGACTCCGACAATGGAATTTTGCGTGCTCGACGTGTTTTCTGCGTGGTTTTCAATTTACATAGTCGTATCCTTTGGGTTTAACAAGAAATTCATGCTTGGATCTTTAAGCATGGCAAGTTGTCACTTCCATTGATCATGTGAATGTCTTATGCGCGTAGGCTGCGGCTTGTGCATTGCTCGACGCGCCAGCTTTCGGCATAGAGATTCCTCGCTTCATTCTTGTGTTCGTTGCCCACGATGGTGCAGGCGCTTTGTTTGAGGGCACCAGGGGCACAGAGTGTCACAGAAGTCTGTGTTGTCCCTTTGACGGCAGGAAGCCTGGCAGGTGGCAGACACCATTGATTTGTGGGAGGCCACATTATTCAGATTGAAGCCGCGAAGGGCCATGATGAGCTTGCTGCTTGCAGGAATGGGCACGCCAGCACAGGGCGTCCCAGGCGGGGATCACGGTATGCGTGTTTACATATTCCCGCGAAAATGGGCAGACGTTCGAGCTTAGGGCTACGGTTTTTGTTTTGCTTGCAGCCCTGAGCACCCAAGGCCCAGGGCCAACACAGTCTTGCAAGGAGCTCAATTCTTTCCGTGTGGGGCATACGCCCGAGAACATCCACTCGCCGCGCCCGAGAGCCGAAACTCTTAACAACCCATTCGCCTTAAACTGCAGACATGCTCTCACAACTGCACGATTGCCTGAACATCCACGGCCGAGCAAACGACAAATGGCCTCGAACTTCGTGAAGGGCGGGCGCTGCATGGGAAAGTTTTGTCAGAGTACAAGTTGCTACCGACGACACCACGCAGGCAAAGCACACGCAGCACATGCCCACAACACACCTGTTTGCAGCACACATTAGAGCATTACACAGCACATTGATTTTTGGTTTGACGAGTAGACCTTGCATGGCACGTTATGGCATACATACCACAATGCATGCTTTTGCTCAGCAGTCCCAGCTCGTCCGGCGACCAAAGGCATGAATGCGTAAAAGGCCTTGAGACCAAGTGCGCTCGGCCATGGCAATCGCGTGCAAGGGGACACTGCCTTCCGCTACACAGGTCACCCTCCCCCTTGTACAGGGTTGCATTAATGAGAAAGGGCGGGCTCGGGCTTCGGATTCGACAGCTTGATGCCAGGGTCCAGTTTACGAGGATTGCTTGCACCGTGCCATTTGTGAGAGATTCGACCATTCCTGTTTTGTTTACGAGGAAACCGGTAATCGCAGCTCAAGACATCGAGAAACCCCGTGAATCCCCTCAGTGAGTATTCATGTTGTGCTGTTCTGCGTTGCGTGCCAGGGAGATGATGAGCCACAGGTGCTGAAGTGGTGATGTGTCCATCACCTACTCGTCCCATGCCCGCGAAGGAGTTGGTGTTCGTGTCAGACGAGGAGGCCGTCGTCCCGGTTGCATTCGCAGGATGTTACTCGAGTCACCTGCAGGCGGAGGAGGGCGTGAAGTTCGACGATGGCGACGACCGAAGTGAAGCTAGTGGCGTTCTGGTAGGAGCGCACAAGATGCCACGATATTCTCAAGAAGGGTATCTTAATACTCTACACAGAAGGGTATCTTAATACTCTACACGTTTAGTCAAGAGGTATTGCATTGTCTCGCGTTTCCTACATTTTAGTACCTCATGGAGTAGGCTGGGGAAGCCCCCCCTCACGGACCGACGCGCCCTGGAACACAGGCATCACACGATGTTATGATGGTTGAGCAATAACTATTTTTGGCTTCCCGTTCTGCCGCGTAGAGGCGGCCCGACGTCAGACATGACCGAACGGATCCGAGCCGAGCCGAGCCCTAAACCCCAAAACCTTAAACCCCTAAGCCCTTCATTGAGCGCTTCGGAAGCCCCTGGCTGCCCCGGAGGCCAAGCCGGTCCGGCCTTGCTCGAACTTCTCTGGTCCTTTTTTGGCGAGGAGGGGAAGCCGATCTCAGGGTTTGGGGTTTTTGGGGTTTGGGGTCTGGGGTTTTGGGTTTGGGGTTTTGGGGTGTTGGGTGTTGGCTTCAGGGTTTGGGGTTTAGGGTTTGGGGTTTAGGGTTTTGAAATTTTGGGTTTGGGGTTTTGGGTTTAGGGTTTATGGTCTAGGGCAATTTTACAGGGATCTTTCCACAGGGTTCCCCGCAAGGGAGCCTTGAATGGGCTCCTTTGAGCGTACTCTAGGGGCTTCGGATCTCGGGTTTAGGGCTTAGGGTTTTAGGGGCTTGCAGGGGATCTTTAACTTTAAGGATTTCGGAGGGCTTTGTTCTAAAGGGTTTTAGAGGGTGTACAGAGGGTCTTAGACAAGATAGATAACGGTTCCACAGGGCATCACGGGGGTTTCACGGTTTCACGACGTCTTGTGGATTCACCAGTTGTAGCCTGTTATGCTTGTGTTCCTGCACCCAGAGAGCTCACCATGCTTGAAGTAAGCAATGTTCCGGAAATCATATTATGCAGTGCTCTATGAATCCTAAGCCCAGCCCAAAGCTGAACCCTAAGCTTCGGGATGCTCCTTATCTAGGGAGTCATGGGCTCTGTGGGTACTGGACTTAGCCTCAAAGTAGTTCGCCTTGGGGCGATATCCCCTGATGCTGCCTGCGTGTTGGGTTTGCCGAAAGCCTATAAGGCCCATGGAGCCGTTGAAGTCCCTGCACTACCCTTGGCCCCAGAATCCCCATGGAACCCAAAACCCTGTAGCCCGATAAGGCCCTCAAATCAAACACTTCCCAACAAAAAGTCCCATAGAAGTTTCCTGAAACACTTCTAAAACAGTTTTTTAAACCACCTCTTTCACCCTAAGCCCTAAACCCGTCTGCGGGCAGGAGCAGCAAAAAGGCAACTTCCCCTTCGAGCCAGTGTTTCTGAGCGTGCGGGTGAGGTGCACACGGGGGGCCCCTACAATGAGGGCAGTAGCATTCAGAATTGGGTTCCTTCATGGGGGTTCTAGAAGGATTGTTCAAGGGTTCTATATTGCAACTAGAATGGGATTTGGGGTGTATTTTATGCAATAGTTATGCAGGGACTAGAGGGGGATACCATGCGAAGCATTTAGACCTCTCTGCTAAGCCGCCGGGAACCTCTGACAACCGAAAACTGCAGCCTGCCAGGGCCGTCCCTACGATCTATGCCGTCACCTACGAGGAGCTTCCCAGGATGAGTACTATTCGGTTGGGGTTTTTTCGGTAAGTTGCCAGGGGTCCTGGAGAACAGTGTCATGTGAGTGAGTGTGGCAGTGGGGCAGGTTGCAGCCGAGGCTATGCTTACAAGCTCTTTCAGCAGTCCCTGTGTAGCTGCAGCACGCGCGGGGTGCTCCAGGAGATGTCCCAGTTCTATGCGTGCGTCTTTTGGCCACTTGATCTCGCTTGGTCTTGTGGTCGTCCATGGTTCAGAGTTCCGGGTTTGCGGCATCCTGCTCAATGAATGCGGCGTGTCTGCAAAGGCCATGGGATGTGATGATGATGCTCTTCAGTGAGCTGTACACTATGCTCGTGCCCTTGTTTCTGCCCGATCGCCATTGGATTGCGCGGGTCCCAGGCTCCGAGGCCTGTGAGGAAGGGTTTGGGGTCTTCTTTGAAAACACCGTCAGGTCAGCACTATGTTGTGGTCACTCAGATACTCTGACCAGAATTGGTGGCACATCCGTGCTCGCAATGTGAAGACTCCTGTCGGCAAGAAGTTGCTGAATCTCATCGGCTCTTCAGCCTCATGAATCGGTGCGCCGACACTTTTGGGGTCTCTTTGGGAAGAGCATGGCACCCTACAGTAACTCCCTAAAAGGGATCTGAACTTGCGGAGCTACCTATCTCAATGAGTGAAATTGCCAGTGAGGGCCAAACCCTAAACCTTAAACCCTAAACCCTAAACCCCAAACCCTAAACCCTAAACCCTAAACCCCAAACCCTAAACCCTAAACCCTAAACCCCAAACCCTAAACCCTAAACCCTATCTCAATGAGAGAAATTTTTCCAGTGAGGGCCCAGCTGCCATCTGCCGGGCTGGCGCCCTTTCCGATCCCCTACGATCCCTGGATTGGAACCGACCAGTTCGACGGACGAGAGCAGGCCATCAGGTTCCTGGGTAGTATTAGGGTAAAGGGGACCCTTCTGAACCCTACTTCTAGCCCTCTTAAAAGGGACCTTATTGAGAGGGTCGATATTTTCAAGGGTCCCCCTCATCCTAACTCCCACAAGCTTTGGGTGTATAGGGTTTGGGGTTTGGCCAGGCTTCTGTAGGGTGAGAACTGAGCCAAAACCTCCGAAACAAGGCCGCCGAAGGAATCGTGGACCCTCAACATTCCCTAAACCAGGAAACCCTTTTGAGACAGATCTCCTCAAGCCCCTAAGTGTCCTGACCATCACCCTGAACCCCAAACCCAAACCCTAAACCCAAACCCTAAAGCTCAAAGCGTCACAGCAAGCTCCGATAGGCGGCCTATTGGCTATCCCTCACGGAGTTCCAGCAGTCGGGAGCTCAGTTTTTGAGGGATTTGGCAGGTTCAAGGCGTGTGGGATGTTGTCAGAGGCTTTTTGTTGGGGGTTTTAGGCCTTGTAGGGTTTAGGGATTTGGCGTTCAGAATTTTGCTGTGGAGCGACGTGTGGAATCAGGAAGGTGGAGGTGCGGGGAAAGCACAAAAGTCAGCGCAGATTCAACTTGTTGCTTGGACCCCTTCCAGATCGATTGGGAGGAGCATCACCAGCCCTACACTTTCAACCAAAAGCCCTAACCCTTAACCCTCAAGCCCAAACCCTAAACCCTAAGCGTGATCCAAGGCCGTCAGATTTTGGGCCTCCGATTTGGCACAGTGGTTTCGGGTCCAGGTCCAGGGACAGGGATGACCCTCACCCCAGAACCCCACAACCCCCAATGCCCCAAGTCCCTGAAGCGTTAAAGCCCTCAAGCGCTCAGCCGAGGTATCCCAACCTTGGTCATTTCCGCAGCGTCCCAGATCTCTTGGCGCAGCTGCGGCAGCGGCTGGGTTCTTGTTAAGGAACTTCTTCGTTACGCTGCCGGAGTAAGGAAGTCCTATTCTTCCACCATTTGGACATGCCGTAACTCCATAACCTTGATCCGAAATTGAAAACCCACAGCCCCGTAAAGAACATATGTAAATCAGATGTTGTCGTTTTAATTTAGGGGCCTAAATAATTACCAATACTATTTTGGGGGCTCCTTATTACAATTTTATTACTTCTACTATACCCCAAAACCCTTATAGAACCTTTATACTAACCCTTATAGTAGCCGTTTATAAAGGAACCCTATTCTAACTATAAAGGCCCCTACAGCACCACCCTAAGAGAAGCTCACCCGGATCCCAGGTTTGATGCGGAGGAGGCCAAGCGCGGCATGAGAGCCTTCAACGAGGCGCCCGAGGGTTTTTCCTGGGTTTGGGGGATCGTTTAGGGCAAGCCCTAAACCTAAGCCCTAAACCCTAAACCCTAAACCCTAAACCCTAAACCCTAAACCCCCAACCCGAAACCCTCAACCCGAAACCCTAAACCCGAAACCCCTAAACATGGGTGCCTTTGGGGTTCTTGATCCCTCAGGGCTCTGCAAGGGGGTTTGGAGGCTTTCAAAGATGCGCTGCGAGGCTCGAAACCCCGTCTCAGCTGGTCGTTCAAGATATGGGTGGTTGTCAAAATTAGGGTCCCTTTTGGGGTACCCTAAATATTAGGTGCCGTATTATAATAAGGACCCAAAAAGGGACCATAATTTTGACCACCACCCATATGAAGCAAAAGCCTGAATCCCAAGCCCAAAACCCAACGCCAAGCAGGAGGAACAGAGCCTGCAACAAGCACCACGGAGCCTTTGGTTCAAAACCCCAAACCCGAAGACGTTGCACTTGCCCTCGAAACATGCAGCTTTAAGCCCAAAGCTTCAAAACCCAAGCCTGTCGATCCCACAGAAACCGGCTTCGGCTTAAGCTTAGTGCAGAGGCCACACTGCGGAGTTCGCTGGACTTCTACCGCTGGGCCGCGGCATGTTTGCAACCTTGCCGCACAAACTCCGCCTACTCCCTTTCCTCCTCCGGCTGGAATGTACTCACTACAGAGAAGTCAGTATTGTGAGAAATACTCTCAGCCCTCAGCCCTGAACCCTTCCCGGAGTCCAGAGTCGAGGGGGTATAAGCTGCAAAATAAGGTTTAGCGGTTTCGGGTTTAGGGTTTGAGGGTTTAGGGTTTGGTGGTTTAGGGTTTTGGTGGTTTGGGGTTTGGTGGTTTGGGCTTTAAGGGTTTAGGGTTTGGAGGTTTAGGGTGCCTTCCGCCGATGACGAGGTTAGGGAATTCCATGCTGCCGTGGCTGTGAGCCGACAGACGACCTGCACTGCCTGGACCGGGACTGCAAGGTGGGGGGACCCTTAGTTAGGTTGAGACAAGTCCTGTAGTATATGTAGGGTTTAGGGTTTAGGGTTTAGGGTTTAGGGTTTAGGGTATTTTACTTACCATTCTAGACGGTCTTATACCCCGTTGTACTCGAACATGTTCGAAACACTCTATAGCGAATCACACCAGAGACAAAATGCAACATAACTCACAGCCTTGAGGAGCAAGTATGCCAGCGGATTCACGATGCGCGAGGTATCCGAACGAGGCGGATCCGGGACACGGATGCTCTGCAAGGGTAGCTGTGAAGGCGCGGCTTGGAAGCGATCATGGCAGCCAGCTTTGGCACAACAGTGGTTGGAGGCATGACATGGCATTGCAAGCAAATCCCTAACACGGAGCTTTCTTCATGAGGAAGGTGCTTCCAGCAATGCTCGTTCAACTGTAGTCCGTGTACGGCAGACTCATGCTTCAGTAGTGCACCGTGCTGCGTTAACATGTGGGCGGACAGCTTCGGTGATGACGTGCGGCTACAAATCTTGGAGCATTTGTGGCCAAAGGAATGGCGGGGCGCTCAGTTGCGATCTGTGTCCTCGTTGGGTACCCTTGACAGCCGCTTCCGATGTCTGCTTGTGACTGCTTGTGACAGCCGCACTGCATTGCACCCCCGCATTGTGCTTTTTTTGGTTTGAGGCTCTTGACATGCGCTGAAGTCTGCCAAACCGCGAGATGCTTCCTTGCCCGGCAAGATGTGCGAGAGAGCCTGGTCACCTCTTTGCCGGAGGATGCCTTTGCCCTCACCTCCCCTCTCTGGCGCCTCTTGAGGAGCGCCATCGTGGCCGGCTCAGGGGGTCTCTCCGTTTCGGGCTGCTGTGCGTTCCGGTATGGGGCTGTAGATTCGTAAATCCCTTTTGGGTCTCCAAGGCAGCTGGCAGCCCCTGCAGTACCGCCCTCTTGAAGCCGGCCTTTGCAGTGATGGGAAGGCCAGCTGCTCGCACAACGAACTGTCGAGGTGGAAGGTCGCGGCTGCTCGGGCGCTGCTTCACAGTGTCTGCCCAAACGGGAAACGTGTCCCTGGTCACCCTGGCGCTGCAGTGCCGGGCAGACATTGAGCAGAGGATCAACGGCCAAAGCGCCCTGGACTCGGCGTCGCAGGCCGGGCAGGTGCAAATCGCGGAGGTCTTGTTGCAAGCCCGCGCGGCAGCGACTCAGACGGCGCAGGGCCGATGGACTCCGCTGATGCGTGCCGCGCAGGACTGCGCTTGCAGAGCTCTGTCCGTAGACTATAAGGGGTCGGAATAACTAGTAAGGAAGCATAGTCTACCCCAAAGCCCTCTCTTAAGGAGACATGTCTAAGATCTTGGGGCAAGTTTCGGAGTGCAGGGGGGACATCTCAAAGTCTGCGAGCTGCTCTTAGCCTCCGGAGTCGACCCGGACGAGTTCGCCGAGCGGACCACGGCCTTGGACGTGGCGGTGTCCCTGTCGCACCTGGAGGCCCGAAATGCTAAAGGCTGAGTCCTTGTTGGATACAATTTTACATTTTTGTTTTAATAAAACCCAACAAGGATTAAGCTTTTACATTTTTGTTTTAATAAAGCCCCATAAGGACTAAACATGATGATTTTTAATCTAGCCCCAACAGGGAACCTGAAAGGGGCTCGGGCAGGGTTCTAAAAGGGACCTACGTCGGCTGCATGAGGGTTCTGCTTGGGGGATGCCGTAAGGACTCGAAACCGAGAGGCTTGTTTTCTCTTAACTCCTAAACCCCAAACCCTGAACTCTTGACCCAAAGCCCCCTAAACCCTAGACCCTAAACTCTAAACTCTAAACCCTAAACCCTAAACCCTAAACCCTAGACCCTAAACCCTAAACCCTATAAACCCCAAACCCCTAAACCCTAAAGCCTAAAGCCCAACGCCCTCAGCCCGGAGGTGGTGAAAGCTCTGGAGGCCAAGCGTGCTCGGAGGTACCAGGACCTGCCAGCGGCGAGGAGGAGCGTCGCTGCTTCCACGAGCTTCTGGGTTCCTGTTAAGGGTTAACGGTTTAGGGTTTAGGGTCTAGGGTTTAGGGTTTAGGGTTTAGGGTCTAGAGTTGAGGGTTTAGGGTTTCGGGTTTAGGTTAAGGGATTCATTTTAAGTTACCAAATGGGGATCTATGGCAAATAATCTAAGTTACCTTCATAGGGATCTATGGTAAATGATATGGTTTCCTTAGTATAGTAACCCTAAACCCTAAACCCTATAAACCCTAAACCCTACACCCTATAAACCCTAAACCCTATAAACCCTATAAACCCTATAAGCCCTAAACCCTACAAACCCTCAATCTTAAATTAAAATCCCTTAGCAAGAACATAAGCCCTAAACCCTAAACCCTAAACCCTATAAACCATAAACCCTAAACCCTAAACCCTAAACCCTAAACCCTAGAAGCCCTATAAGCCCTAAACCTTAAACCCCAAACCCTATAAGCCCTATAAGCCCTATAAACCCTACAAGCCCTACACCCTTAAATGAAAATCCCTTAGCAAGAGCCCAGGCTTCCGGGTGGCGCTGGAGAGCTTCCGGCGGCCTCCCAGGAGATCCGGGCGGGGCGTCGCTGCCCCAGAGTCCGAAGCGCCAGGGTTTAGGGTTTAGGGTTTAGGGGTTCAGGGTTTAGGGTTTAGGGTTCAGGGGTTTAGGGTTTAGGGTTTAGGGTTTAGGGTTTATAGGGTTTAGGATTTAGGGTTCAGACAACAGTCCCCTCTCTTAGGGTTTAGGGTTTAGGGTTTAGGGTTTAGGGTTTAGGGAGAACATGTAAAGACCTAAGTAAACAAAGGGCATGGAGGCAGAAATAGATAGAGTTATACGGTATCAATGTACATATCGACATGGATAGACATATAACTCAAAGGCATGTATGTGAACAAATAGATGTATACAGAAATATACATGCACATATAACTGCAAACAGGTATGTATGTATGTATGTATGTATGTATGTATGTATGTATGTATGTATGTATACATATATATATATATAGATGTACATATACATATATAGAGGTGTAAGCATAGATACAATCATAAATGTAAATACAAAGGCAAGTGTAAATACAAATCAATACATGATTACATCAGTAGGTCAATAGGTGAACCAATCAATCAATATATCAATCCATCCATCCATCCATCCAATCCAATCCAATCCAATCCAATCCAATCCAATCCAATCCAATCCAATCCAATCCAATCCAATCCAATCCAATGATCAAGCAAGCAACCAAGCAACCAAGCAACCATGCAGCCAAGCAACCGAGCAGCCGAGCAACCAAGCAACCGTGCAACCATGCAACCAAGCAACCAAGCAACCATGCAACCATGCAAGCGTCAAGCAGGCAACCATGCAAGCAGGCAAGCAGGCAAGCAGGCAAGCAGGCAAGCAAGCAAGCAAGCAAGCAATCAGTCAAACAGTCAGTCAATCAATGAGTCCATGAATCAGTCAGTCAATCAGTATTATATATATATATATACACATGTATTTATATGTATACATATTCAGGTGCACGTAACTATACATCTATATATATATATACACACACACACACGCATGTGCACACATATGTATGGATAGGGCCACCTTGCAGGTGTGTGAGGAGTCCGAGTGAAGCTCAGTGCCCAAAGCCTAGGTCCTTTGTGGCTCGGCCTCTTTGCCGCTGCAGCCGAGAGTGCGCATCCCCGCGGCAGAAGCTGAATCTGAGGAGGAAGACGACGGCGAGTTTGGAAACGGATGAGGAAAAAGAGACCGAAGCCTGCAGTGCGCCGCCTTGGCAGATAGCTCTCCGCACTTTGCTTCTGCCCCCTGTGAGCAGGTCGGGGCTTCGAAGCCGGCGTGGAGCGAGACGTCTCACCAGCCGGCAAAGGCCTCCAAGGAGTAGAACTCGCGCCACCGGGGCGGGAAGGTGATGCTGCGTCCCCGCAGACACTGCGTAGGGCGGGGTCTGTATCTCGAGCCCAAAGTGCGAGCTGGGACCACCGATGCAAAAGCGATTGCTTGGCACAAAAGGTTCGCTGTTGAATGCATCTTTTGGGTGTCGACTCCCCTGCTCTCCCGTGCATGCTAGAAGATAACTGCATCTCCATAGTCTACTAGCAGAGCGTGCACCCTTTGAACACTGTCTCTGCTTTACCAGAACAGCTCCTTCTCCGCCAGGCGGAGGTGGGAAACTTCGGGCGACTCGCCGGCGAGGGCCCGAGTTCCACTCACCCTAAACCCTAAACCCTAAACCCTAAACCCTAAACCCTAAACCCTAAACCCTAAACCCTAAATGGCTTGGCAGGTTGGGGCCCCTCGTAGACCCTGAACTCCTAAAAGGTCCTATAGACCCTAAACCGCAAACCTTGAGCCCTGAACCTAAAACCCTAAACCCCTAAACCCTAAACCCTAAACACTAAATCCTCGGGTTGAGAGTCTGGGGCTTGGGGTTCACTGTCTAGGGTGTCTGAGGTTTGGCCCATGCCCAAGCAAACCCCAATCGCAAATAGCTATCGGTTCGCTATTTAGGGACTTTAGGGTTCAAGTTTTCTACTTTCGGGTTTCCTGAGTTTGTACCTTCAGTGTATTTCCCCGACCATCGAACCGTACACCTGGACCCTCGGTATGCTTCCAGCTTCAGGTGGCATCCTAGCCGCAGCGATGCGCGAGACTACTTGCGCGGGTCTCAAAACCCTGTGTAGAATTCGCATAGATCTGGCGTTTGTCTCAGCCTGACAGATTGACTTTTAGAGGTCAGGGCTTGGAATCATGATCCCTAAACCCTAAACCCTAAACCCTAAACTTGCGTGGATCGGGCCCCTGGCACCTGGGGCTTATAAGGATATGCGCGACTTGGGTTCGTGCAGCTGGGAGTCTGGTGCAAGCTTGGGGCACTATAGTATTCCCTGATGGCCCTATAGTATGATTTCCCCCAAAAGCCCTGCTCAACTTAGATTGGACCCCCTTTTTTTTTGAGCCTCTCATGAGCCAAACCATAATTTCGAAAAAGAGCCCGATAAGAGCTTTATTCCAATTATGAAGGTCGCCACATTCAGCCCCAAGGTCCTTGACCCAGCCCGAAACGAAGCGACACTTTCTGGATCCCCAAAAAACCCGAAACTTGATGCTCAGATGTGGATGCCGTCGGGATGCTCTCTCTGAGCAATGCAGCCAAAGCCGTTGCGCTTGCCAATTCCATGGCGGAGAGCCAGGCAGAGTGGACTGCTGCGTCGTGTTCTCATTCCGGTCCGGGGTTTAGGTTTTAGGGTTTGCGAGCAACCCGCATGGTAGTATGTTTGTTCTAATAATCTTTTTGAGGGGGTTTCTTAAGCAAAACACGCCTTGCTGAAGTTTCAGATTTTTTTCGACACGTCTCGCACTATTTATCAAGAGTGTTCCTGTTCCGCTCGTTTGCTTCTGCTGGGGTTTAACTTGCTTGAGCATGAGCTTGACACTGCCTGGCACATTGTTGCGCTTTGCTTCAGCGACAGCCACACACCATCTTCACCATCTATACTGAGACGGGTGGCTCCTAAGACAGCAAGTGGCATCCGACCTATCTACTTTGTGTATCGTTGAGTATCGACATGTTGTACCGAAGGTTCCATTGGCTACTGAAGCTCGGTGTGCGCAGCGATGCACCATCAGCTAGTTCCTGACAGCCACCTGCTCTGGGTGTTGCCCTGTCAGCCACATGTGCTATGCAAGTGTTCCTAAAGAGGGTTGTTATTGTTCCCCCCACTTGCATACACGCATGCCCGCAGACAGCCAGCCAGACTCGCCAATAAAGCACGAAGCCACCATGATTGGGACTGCTATTGTTGCCGATACTAATCGGTATTAACTGTGTCAGTTGCTGGCATGTTACCCTTCCGCTTATTGTCGCCATGCCTGATTAATAAGCCCTGCCTAAATCCCGCTTTGCAATGCTTGTTAAGGGATGTGTATGTTGCTGAGCATGGCTATGCACATTTAAAGGAGTGGCGGACTGAGTAAGTAGGGTTTTAAATAGAGCAACTGAACGTACAAGTACTTCTAATCATAATTATCAGGACCTAAAACCATACTTACTATTAACTTACTATGCTAAAAAGTAAAGCTACAATCCTGTAAAAGCCCAGTAAACACTCACGAAGCAACATCTACTAAGTCTCCTGTTCCTCTAAGTATTGGGGGTTTCCGAAAATAGGGGACCCTAATCTAGTACCCCAAATAGTAGGATCCTTATCATAAGGACCCCAATATTAGGGTCCCCATATTTTCGGAAACTCCCGCATTGCCCCGCCAGGCAGCCTCCAAGCACCTGGCATTTCAGCCGCAGCTGCTCTCCGAGCAGGCTGGTCGCTGTCCCCCCCGCGTTTAGGGTTTAGGGTTTAGGGGTTTAGGGGTTTAGGGGTTTAGGGTTTAGGGTTTAGGGCTTCTACGCATTACGGCCCCAGTATGGAAACCTTTATGACACCCTTCTAGAAACCGAAGCCCTTTTGTGTAACCCTTCTAGAGACCCTTCTTGAAACTCTCCAGAAAGCCTTGTAGAATCCCCGAAGCCCGAGACCTCTATGTGGGGGTTTCCCAAAATAGGGGACCCGAATATAGTACCCTAAATAATAGGATCCTTAATATAAGGACCCCCAAATAAGGTACCCCTAATTTTCGGAAGCTCCCATGTTCAAGCAGGAAAACGACGTCGAGAGGAGGCCCGGCGAGCAGGTGGTTTAGGGCTCAGGGGGTTTTAAGGGTTCAGGGTTATAAAAAAAGACGGGTATCTAGAAGGGCTATAAGTAAGGGTTCTACTAAACCCTAAACCCTAAACCCTAAACCCTAAACCCTAAACCCTAAATCTATAACAGTAGGGGCCTAATGGTCCGAATGGGGTTTGGGGATATGCCGAGGTTTGCAGTGTGTGGGGGTGTATGCCGATTTATGTTTACCGCGCTTTGTTGTGTCTGGGTGTCTGGACGTATTTATGTATGTGGATACGTATCTATGTATGTATGTATGTATGTATGCATGCATGCACGCATGTATGTAAGTAAGCAAGTATGTAAGCGAATATGTAGGTAGGCAGGCAGGCAGGCAGGCAGGCAGGCAGGTAGGTAGGTAGGTAGGAAGCTATGTAGGTCGGTATGTATGTATGGATGTTGCGAATATGTATATATATATATACACATAGATACATACATACATAC